ACCCGCCCCACATACACCATAGCTTCTGGCTTGTTTTCAGGAGAAAAGCTAACAGAATTTAGAATCTATGAAAGTGCAAATATTAAAGATGCTCTTAATCACCGCCAACTGCTATGATTGTTCACTGTGATCCTCTCCTCTAAGATATTCCCTGGCAGCTTTGGAAAAGCAGCTGCAATCTTTCTCTCTTCCTCCCTCCTTCCTTTCCTTCCTCCTGGCTGAGAAGGAAGAAGGAGCCTCAGGAATAGCAGACCCTCAGGCTGTAATTTAGTGAGAGGCTCTCAGGCACAACTTTAAGTGCTACTGGAAACATTTCTGCAAATATTAACCGTGCATAAGGATTCACAACACTTTGAGGAAAATAACTCCTCTTTCAAGCAGTGAAGATATTTAACTATATTTTTCACGTTTTTTTTTTTTTCCCTACCCGGACTTAAGTTCTAGACAAAGGTTTCTCTCTTTCAGGTGACCTGCCTTAATGGTACCGAACAGCTTTGTATGCTAACCCTTTAGGGCTTTTGCATTCTGCTGATGCATTTCCCTCTGTGCATTGCCAATTTTATACCTAGTGCACTTCCCCATTTTCAATGCAGAAAGAAAGATGGTTTGTGCATCTTTTTGCAAACACATCTATTTCTCCCTGAATGGGGAAGATTCTGCCTTTCCAGCAATGGAGAAGGAGCAAAATCAAATTGATGAACCTCAAATTCCGACAGAAGAATCAGTTTTTGGAGAGGTAATCCCCAGGTTAAAAAAAAAAACACTTTATTATTTAACTTTCAAATTAAGGGGTACCAAATGAGCATAGTCAAAGAAAGAATATTTTATATTTAGTCATTTTCCAAGAGATGCACAAAAGGGAGAAACCTCTAGAAAGGCAGTGCAGTAAGAGACAGTGCCAGAGCATAGGGCACAGAATTCTACAGTGATCAATGCATGCAGATTGCTATTTGCAGGGAACAAGGATAAACTCGTATCCTTGAACCCCTTCAGTTCAGCCAAATGTCTTTCTGTCTTTCCTACCATTTCAAAATGTAGCTGGGTTCTTCTGGGTTCCCAGATGGACAAGCCTTCTGAAGGTAACAGCCTGGCCACCACCAACATCACCTCAGATAACTCCCAGGTACCACTGTAGGATCCATTTGAAATATGACGCTTTAGAAATTTATAACAACCGGTGGATTTGTTTCAACTCAGAAACAATTCTGTATGTGCAAAATTCAAAATTTCAGCACCAGAGAGTCATTACCCATGTACTTATCATCAGAAAAAAAACACTCTGAACAAAAGGAAAAAAGTCGACAACCGGGTCCTCTTCTTGCACGTAGCAAGAGGCATGCCATTAAAAGGTGGGACAGACAGGGCTTAATCTGCCAAGAATGAGTCCCCCTAGATTAATGGTCTTTAATTAGTTTCCCCAAAACATAACTCACCTGTCATGATAATTTAAGTAAAACTGAAGCAGTTGATTTTGCCATGGATTTATTTTACAGACATTTCTTATTCCTCTTCTTCAAAATGAAAACAAACAAAAACAAACAAAAAAACCCACTTACCCAGTAACAGAGTCCAGCCTGAACTACTCTTGCATGGGTGTGTAGGAATATGGGAAGACAAGGGCCTCACGTGGGAGAAATTTTCAACCCTGGACTAATGACCCCTCAAGGCATCATTCTAGGCGTTTGTGAAGGAGCATATTTAAAACCTCTCTCCAACACTACTGATCAGAAAGCAGGATGTCACTGAAAATTCTCTCATGACCATCTTGAATTGTTACCTAAGTTCCCTCTGAGGAGATGAGGACTGCTTGGGGTAGGCTCGGCATAACAACGAGCCACGTCACAACAGAAGCCTGCTCTCTACCCCGGAGGGCACGTCTGAGGAAGCAATGGGGCATGCGTCGGATTGCACCCTGGGGGAGGTGGATCTGAACCTCATCTTTGAAACTCGCACCCAGAACACCAATGTGCCCCGGCTCTGAGGCGAGGGACTGCAGCCTTGCAGGAGCTACATATCTGAGCTCACAGATGCTCTAAGCTGTGAAACTTCTGGCTCCTTCTGCCCAGACTGCCGAGCATGTGCTGGCCAGAGCACGAAGTGGGTGGACAGAACCAAGTGGATAACTGGGTCTTTCTACATACAGATGTGCACAGAAGTGGCCCTGGGGCCTGGGTACCCAGTTCATGAGTCTCCAGGCATCTCCACATTATGGGCCCGAGAATCTTCTAGATGCCCATCATTCGGGAGCCAGCATGACTTAGCTATTCCCTATGCACAAGCCCAAATTAGTCAAGACGGCGAGGCCTGGGTGGGATCCCAGCCGAAGGCGCCTACCCTACTTGTGAGTATAAACAAGCTTGGTGTACACATTTTACTATGTAAGCAAGACCTAGGACATGCTAGGTCCTAGGTCCTAAAGAATCCTAAGTTCCTTAGATTTGTCCAACTGACTACAGGAATATTTAGAAGTTGATGGCACCTCAATCTGAATTGATAAAACGGTCATTTTAGCACAACTTTATTTGAGGCACTCGAAGTAAAAAAATCGGTATCTGCTAATTTTCTTTTACTGCTCTGAATCAGTCTAAATTAACAAAGCTTCAATTCTGTCATCCTGACTCTGACATCTGTTTTGTCTACACTCCAGAAACTCCATTATTTGTTTAGGTGAGACTTTTCATTGGCTTTTCAACATTCCCTCATGTTTTATTCAGGTCAAGCTGCCTTTGGGTCTGGTTAGAAGTTTGTATTTCACATCCGCACACCAGGGGCTTACCTGGCCCATCCATCAGGAGTAGTTATCCCCCTGCTTGTGACCACGGCTAGAACAGGAAAGAGAAATTATCCTGTGCAACAGCTTGTTTTCAGATGGGGAGACTGAGGCTCAGAGAGGTGAAATGACCCACAAACACTACAGCCAGCTTTAGCCAGAGCCAGCTAGCGCTTGAACTTCAAACTCAATACTGATTACTTAAGATGAGGATTGGAATCAAAGGGTCTTCTGGCTCCTGCACGGCTCACAAACACGGGTCTATTTATTCTCGCCAGGTTATTATCGTATCCTGTGTCACTTCAGTGAAACGCTTGCCATGAGCCTGGCCTCAGAGACAGGTCCAAAAGGGCAGGGGACAGATTATCTGGTCAGCTGAAGAAAACCATTTAGTTTACTCTGCAAACGAGGGACAATCTGTAGTGCTTTGGCTCCTTTTAGATGAATGACCTATGGTTAATTATTATCTCCCAGCTTTATCCTTAAATCTGCAGGTTTAAATTCTCTGGTAGTAATTGCCTCTAAACCTATGCCTGTAATCACTGCTGGAGACAAAAAGCAAGTCTTTCTGTAGCAATTTTTAAATGTCCTCATTTTTGTCATATTAAACTATGATATCTAATTAGTGTAATAATAGTTTTCCCCCTTATTGGGATAATTGCATCTTTAAACATATTTTTCAGGTTGGAGGGCTCAGTTGCACAGGTATATTGTAGAAGACTGAATGCAAACACATTTTGTTACCCCATTCATTCGTGGCTTCAAATGTTACTCTGACAGCATCTTCTGCAACACAAATGCTAAATTATACATTACCGATCTTTCCAAACACATTAGATAAATTTTTAAACAGACCAGTAGGGATGATCATGTCGCAAACTTAAAATAAACGGTGCTACAGGATAGGTTCTATAACTTCATTTAATATTGATAGCAGCTCAATTTAAATTTTGAAATAGCAAATACCTTTAATAAATTTGGCGTGGATGATTATATATTTTGATACAACTATTGTACAGGCGTGTGTACATATATAAATCTATAGGTAGAATTATATACATTTCAGTATATGCCACATATTTTTCCACTTACATTTTTCTTCTTAGTAAAACAAAGCAGTTTTATTGTACATGGATGTGCAATGCTACATTAAGTCCTGAGTAATTTTAAGGGATCATTAATAAACTACTGTAAATTCTAGTCTTTCAGCCAAAGATCCAGTAGACTCTGTAACAAAAACGTGAAAAAAAAATTAAAAATATGCATTCAGCTACGTGCTTGTTTTGTGCTTAGCGGAGAAAGCTCAAGAATGCACAGTAGCCATTTACGTTTAGGAAAATTTCCTCAGATATTCAAGATTAAACATATATCCTGTTTGTATGGATTTACAGATGTTTTAAGTGATGTCGCCTACATCTAATTTTCAGGCATGGAAGATTCCAGTCATGATTGGACCATAAATCCCTTTTGCAAAATATGAAATTCTGTGTAAACATCAGTGGTCAGGTATCGTACAAAAGTTCTGACTCAAATGAGGGGAAACGGAAAAAATACAATGAAATCATTTAAAATGCTTCTTGTGGGATACAGCCAGCCATATGGAAGGCATATAAAAAATAAGATATATTTTGGTGGAAGAGGAAACCAGATGAAAGTCATTTCAGGTAGGTCTGGTAAGCCGCACACCCAGTTTGGGAGGTCCCAGGTTGGCGTGGCTCAGGGAGGGCCAAGGTAAGCCGGCCACGTCCATTTTGCCACAGGGGACGGCCTCCCGCTGCGAGGAGGAGGGAGCACTATGGGGGAAAAGGCCACGTTCAACGGCAATGGAACAGTAGCAGCTGCCCGTCAGGGTCACCACCAACGAAGCGAAACATGCCAGTCCAAAGTCAGGCACCCGGGAGGCCCTGGTGGGGCGGCCCAGGCCAGCTGCTGCACGTCCGGCTGCCACAGGAGGAGGCAGGCCCAGAAGGAGTGTGGGAGGCTGCCGCACGCCGGGAGGGCCACGTGGACGAGAAGGCACTGCATCGGTGGTTCCTCCATCACCCCCAGCTCTACCCCGTCCCGTGGCTGCTGTAGTCAAAGACCCCTTTCTTGAAGAACGGTGAGAACTCACAGATGGTGTGTTTGGAAAGAGTCAGCCCCACTTTGTCGATGTGTAGGGGAGACGTCGCGGACTGCAGCATCACGCTGAAAAAGTCCCTGAGGTATTTCTGAGGAAGAGACGGGAGACAAAACATGGTTAGACGTCGTCGTGGGGTGGAGTCAAGGAGAGAGAAGAAATCCCAGAAACAACTTGCCACCCACTTTGGAAGAGCTGTTGCTGCCATTGGAAACAGCACATGGGAATCTGTGTGTCCTTGGCCTTCACCAGACCAACCCAAGGGAATAGAGCCACCACATCCATTACGCGGGTGGCTCTGCTCTCTGGCTCAGGGCAACATGGCCTCAGGTCTACCTGCGGACAATGCCCAGAGAAATGCCAATGTGGTGCCAGGATGGGGGGTGGGGAAGTGGTCTTGCCAACAATAGTGGCATCAGTTAATATCCTATTTTTTTAACAGGCCGTTTCCCCCCAACTTACCTGTTAAATAGAAAGCCAATTAAAGGGAGGGGGAAAAAAGGCTAGCCATCTGTAGAATGCTAAATGTGCTGCTCACTAGCATTTTTAAACAGCACTGTAACTGTCTGATTTGGATCCTTTAAAGGAAAAGAAATGCTGGGGACAAGCGGGTCAGTTCCAAGTACTAATATTTACGAGTCATTTTGCAAAACCCATAATCATCAATGAAAAGAAATTCTGACTAAGATTAATTGCTCTGAACCCCCTGCTCTGCCCCTCCCCACGGCTGCACGTGTTTGTCACAGCAGTCCCCGCCTTTTCTGGCACCGAGCAAGCAAAGCATGTCTGGGACGAGGATCCGAGATGCCGGGGATGGAATGAGACGTGGGTGCAGGCAGGATGTATTAAAGGAAAAGAGGACATACAGAAATAGTTCACATATTTCAGGTCAGGCAAGTGTTATTTACAAGAGAAAATGGGTAAGCCTAAATCTTTATTACTGCCTCAGCTTATTTCAAAAATATAAATGATCCTATCACAAACGCTGACATTAAACATAATTATTATGGACTTTGAGTAACAAAGATATTTGTCAGCGAAACACGGCTGAGGCCGAGAAGCAGTGGTTCCCACCAGGGGCGGTCCACCCCGTAGAAGACACACAGCGATGTCTGCAGATGGTTTCGTTACTCTGGGGGGGGGGGGGGGGGGGGGGGGGGGGGGGGTGGCGTGCATCTAGGCGCATCCCACGATGCACGGGACAGCCCCATGCAAGTATTATTGCGTTCCCAATGTCACTCACGCAACGATTGCGAAAACCTGACCCAGCAGAAGTGGCATCCAGCTGCCCCTACGAACTGCCGGCCTTAAATTTACTTCTGAAAGAAGACACTCTGCTCAAGGAAAATTCATCAGCTACTTTCTTAAAAGTAATGAGGATTATTAATAATTGACACTGTATAGTAATTTACTTTCTAAAAATCTTCTAACGTCTCATTTCTTACTGACGCACAGTCACTGTACGTGCTTCAAACGGACAATCTGGTGAGTCTTGAACCGTGTGTACACCCGTGAAGCCATCCCCAAAGCAAGAGAACAAAACATTTGTACTGTGCCTCCGCATTTCTGAGCTCACCTTGTTTTATGTTGTTCTTGTACTCTGCCTAGAATTATCTGCTCTTATTAGTCATAGCCGTTTTTGGATGAGGACCCTGTCGTCAGGGAGGTGAGCAAGGCTAGCGATCAGGAGAGGGGACTTGGAAAACAAGGGTTTTTCACTCAGACTCTGTCTTTTTTGTTCAGTATTCCTCACTTACTGGTCTCACGGTAATCTCTCAGGAAAGGAGCTTGAAAGAGCGATCAGGTCGAGGCAAGAAGGTGTCAAAACCAATTGCTGAAAAATGAAGATTTTACACCAGTACTTTTTTGCATCAGGGGCAAAAGGAACCGGACTTCAACCTCACTGGGGGAAGGGAAGCGGAGAACAGCAACTTTAGAGGGACCCAAAAATCCACCCAACGTGGATGCGAGTGTCCAACACAGACCACACCTGCCGGCCAGCCAATCTTTACAATGCAATAAATACACGTGCGCAAACTGACTGTTGTGGGAAGGTCAAGAGGGAAGTGTTTCCAGAAGGATGAGGAGGAGCTTGTGCACTGGAGTGTGGGGCCACAAGTCTGCCACAGTCTAAAGCTCGAACAGAGCTGGGAACAGCCCCTGCTACAGGTCTCCCACAGGCTGCTCAAATCTAGGAACAGATGTTGTATCCGCATTTGTCGTAATTGGTTCACAAAGAGTGGGGGACCTTTAAAGGGCCAGTGGAACCCAAAGGGGGTCATGAAAAGTTAAAGTTAAAAAACACAGATAAAAATAAAGAAAATATTGAAGATACCTTCCCTGCCCGGTCACCGCCATCAAGAGACCAGTAAACTAAACTAGGTGCAGGGAGTGTCTTTTTCTTTAAATGAACTCACTGACATGTCTCCATGGAAACTGGAGATACAGGGACCTCATTCAACGAATTAGAAACATTATAGGAGAGTTTTTTCATTGCAAAACAACCTCTGCATTGCAGGATTGGGCAGCCGGGGCTCCCTTTACATAGACTGCTTCCTTGGCCAAAGAAATGCTTTGATTAGAGAGTACTCTTCATAGTGACCTTGAGGTGCTCTGAAGTATCCAAGGGGAGGCAGGGTGGCCTTGGTGCTGTGTCCAGAGCCACGTGCTTGCAGTGGGCCGGACAACTTCTGGTGAATGACAAAACCAAAGGACTAGGTGTAGGGCTGGGCACAGAAGACAAAAGTAAACTCCTAGAAGGTTCCTGAGGTCACAGACAGCATATCCTTTTTCTTTGTAACCACTGCCATGCCTGGCACACTGCTGAGCTTGGGAAAAGTGCCTGGAAAGAACCCTGATGACGGACGCTGGTGAGTTAATTTTTAAAAATTGAGGTGTACCCTGAGAATACAGCATGCACACACAGCCTAACAAAGTTTCCAAGACTGGACGTACCTGTGTGAGGAGCACCTAGATAAAAACGAGACAATGTTGCTAGTACC